GATACTTTAAGACAGTCCAAAAAAACGCACTAGATACAAACATGACTTAAACGTGAAGGAGTATCTTAAAGTACGTTAGATATTAACGTGAAAATCCAGTAAAAAAGCGAATCCTAAATGTACGAGAAATACTTTCTTTTCCGTCTAATGAAATAGAATCCTAAGAGTGTACGAGATACAAACACAACAATCAAATGAAAAGATTCTAAAAATGCGCAATATAATAACGTAACTTACTAATGAAGTAATCCTAAAACTTTGCGAGATAAAAATGCAACAGTAGCATGACAGAGAATCCTTAAAATGTGCAAAATACTAATCTAATAATCGAGTAAATCCAAAAATGCGCGAGATACTGACGCTATTTTTTAATGAGGATGTATCCTTAAAGTGCACGAGATACTATATTATTTACTTTGTCCATGCCGATAGAAGAAATATTTCTGACGCACAGCGAAAATCGGCCTGTGGCAAATCTTCCAGCTATCGATTTTCGTTTTCAGCCACGAGAAATGCCTTTAGTAAAGCAACAAGATACGCAACTTCCGGTTTTTCATTTCATATATTGGTTTTCTTCCCCTTATAGAAAAGTTTGAACGTCACTGTCTGTAAGCGATACGGATTTTTCAGTGTTTTAGCAGCCACAATCCGAGACAATTCCATCAAACGAGCTTGAATTGAGAATGGTGAGGGCTTTGCCGTTCACTCATTAACCTGACCGAATTGCGGGAAAGGAGAGTGACACACGTGAAAAATATCGTATATTTTCACTTGTTTTGTTAAGGCTTTTCTTAGGGCTGGAAATCCTTGTATAACGCCTTAGTTCATATGATGAAAAGATTTTTCAAAAGCGCATGATGGCGGATCCTGCAATCGGAATTGTTTCTAACAGAGCGTAGCGAGACATCCCAAAGAACGGCTGCAAAAGAGAAGGCCGACATTGTCTCAATAAAAGGCGAATTTATGGACTTTTCTATCATTTTCGTGTTTACTTCCTCATTTCTTTCAAGGTTTCTTAAATGCACCAAATTGAAGCCAAAAAGGCAGGTTTCGTGTCAATTGTTAAAAGGCGAGAACACAAGCTGTTTGAAATTCTGAAAAACATAATAACTAATGTGTGTTTTTTTACACTTTCAGTCTGCCTTATCATAAGCAGCTGTCTTGGTGTGTATTTTGGTTCTCTGTGGTTGCAAAACTGACAGGTTTTGCTCAAGCAAAAGATCATTACTTCTATAAGTCAAATTACGTCCTTCCTTTTTGTGTTAATAAAGGGTGAGTAACATAATCGTTTTAGTTGGGACTTTTTGTGTATTTTAGATAAAACTTAAAAACTGTTGATTTGGTAGAAGAGTTCATTTCGCAAGGTAAACTGCAATAGCACAAGAGGTAGAAGTGACTGGTAAGTGAAGCGTCTTGTCGGATGTCATTATCAGGGGGTTCATCTAAAGCGAGTACTATAAAATGCTAGTAAAATTTTAACTGGGAAATAGTGTTCAGGGTAAAAAAACAAAAACAAAAAATTTCATAACGCAGCTGAGGAAAAAGATAGAACAGTCTTTTATTCTGATAAGAAAACACGAGAAACGTACCTCAGCTAAATAAAAAAGGATGTATTTTAGGATATATTTTAAAGGTTACATTTTATACGTTTAGGCTTTAACACTCAACAAAAAAGTTCAAACATTGCATATGACTTGGGGACAACACACTTGGTTTTTCTTCTGCTGTAAGTTAAATTTCTAAAATATTTTAATGATGTTCGTTCTGCTTGCTTTTTTGTCGTGTTTGACTTCGCTGCGAATCCCGAAAATATTGCAGGCTTGTTTTATTCTTTGAATATCGTGTGTCTTGATCAACGTGTTTCATTAGCTTCGACTCACTCAATAATCTTAGATGTCTTTAATCGTCATATTGTACTTCTGAAGAAGAAAAAAATCAACACAAAGAAAAAAGGAGATAAGAGAGATTTGAAGATAAATTAAGTGTTTCTCAAAAGCCATGTAATGCTCGTATTGACCCTATTTTAAAGAATTACTTCTATTTTCCCGAACAAGGAGATCCACAAGTTGACATGGCATTCTGCACAAGGCAAGACCAGCCACCAGATTGACCACATCATGATTAATGGGACCTGCAGGCGCTCATTATCAGATATACGTGTTTGGCGAGGTGCGGCTGCGACCATCATCTGCTGTCCGCTGTTTTGAAGCTCAATCTAAGAAGGACTTAGAGGCAACCTCACAGACACCAAAGGTTCGATACAGGAAGCTGAGACGACCTAACGTTGCGAAAGTGTTTGTCCTTGTCCTTCGAGAAAAGAACAAGTTCCAAGACAGAGGGTCCAAAATAGACTTTTCCAATCCCGCCATCGCGCCGCTATTTCATTCCATCCCGCCATCCCACCACAATGAGCATTTTCATCCCGATCCCGCCTAGTCAAACTGAAGTTGCTCTAATAATCATAATTTACTCTAATAATCGTAATTTACTCTAATTAAGTAGAAAGACAAACACTTGCTTAAAGCATATTTAGCCGGCTTAGAAAACGGTTGTTCCTGGGTGTGTTTACGTTCTTCATAGGTGAGTCACAAAAATTCCGCCTGCATAGATAAAATTCTTCAGCCGATCGCAGAACAATAGAAGTCATATCTCAAAGATACAACAGACTTCATCAAATTCATCACAAAAATATACACCCTCCCCATTCCGAAGCGCCTATTAGAGAAAGTATTTAGACTAATTTTGCAGGAAATCTCAACCCATTTCATCCCATTTCAACAAACAAAATTATTTACAAACGACATCTCTCTCTTGCACACCAACAGACACGTCGTCAACCAGTTTATTGAACAAGCAAATAAACTCTACCCAATAATAAAAATTACAGCTGAAATATCTGTTTTAGAAGCCACTTTCTTAGACACCATTATCTATAAGGGTGAAAGATTCAACAGGTAGTCAGTTCTCTACTTGAGAACCCATTTCGAACCATCAGAGACATTCTGGTACAAATTCTTTACAACGTGTCACCAACAGGGAGCAAAGAAAGGCTTCGTCAAAGAAAACGCGTTACGACTCCTCAAGACTAATTCATTTAAAAGAAGTGAGTAACTTGAGCTAAATTATGATCCCGCCTTTACCCGTCCTATCCCCTATTCCGCCTTCGAAACGGAGTATATCCCGGTCTCGCCTTCCTATCTTCATCCCGCATCTCGCCCCGATCCACATCCCGCCAAATCTATCTTTGATCCTCAAGACAGTGCTACAATATCTTGATGAAGAACAAACAGAGCTAGAGGACTTGGTCAACTAGAGATGGCAGAATGTTTTACATGCCTACACAAAAAGTAGCGAGCAATATCTGGGATATCACCAACAAAACAGCAGGAAAGAATGGACGCCAACGTGGAGCGGAGTACTAGTCGCTTTCACTGAGGAGTTTTCTTCTTTTCTTGACAGAATGGTACTCATTCTTTCTTCTTTGGGCCTATTTTTTCTTTACCCAAGGACCTTTTCCTGCTTTTGATTTTCCATGAGCAAAGATTTCCCCATTGGCAAAGAGCTTCAACGAGTGAATTTTGTCAAGTGCGTGATGCAAACAAAATATGCAAATAAAACGAAAACTTTAATTTGAAAATACGTTTTTCTAAATAACTCGGAAGCTTTCAGAGATTTAAATTTATTTCGGAAACGCTAAGTAAAATTTCTGGTTTTAATTTAGTCAAATAAAAGAAAAACGATTTTTCGGCCTATGAGGCTGAAAGCAACATTAATCCACCATTACTATATTGCAGCAACTTTTTTCCTCGTTCTCTCTACCCCTATAGGTAATGGTAATAGGACCGAGTGGAGTCCAATTCGGTCTGTAATCATACGAGTGGTTACAAAATTAGTTACGGTCATGATAAAACGCAGAGTGAAGACCGTGTAGATGTGCAGACCGTGCAATTTTTTGTTTGCTTTTTTTAAAACTGTGATTTGGATTTGATTTATTTCCAAACATAATTTATTTCAGGTTTATGTTAATTTTTTTCCTTTCTCGCAAAATTAATGACGAAAAGATCGGTGCATTGTGGCACAGAATTGGAAATTATCAAACCGACTTATTTCAATTTGGAATGATAGATAATAGTGGCGAGAGTGCTACTGTGGCCCGGACCTGGCGTTACATGTGGATTCAGTTTGTTGTTGGTTTGCTCCTTGCTGCGATGGGTTTTTCCCGAACAAGTTTTGGTCCCTAACAACACAGCACATAAAGTTCTGTGAGTAACACCACATTTGAACCGAAGAAGCGATAATTTTACTCTTTCCCGACTATTTTATAGCTGGTTCAAAGTTCAATAAAAGTATTTTCTTGGTGGTCACAGTTCAGCCTCTATTTCCTTGAATTAATGCATTCCGAATTCATTAATGCAAGGAAATAGGCCTGGAAAATAAAAGTATTGTTATTATTATTTGTTACGGTATTATCTTACCGACAGAAAAACGCTACAATTCCACAAACTCAACGACTTTATTAAACAGCGAGTAATGTTTTTAACAAGGAGCGAAACCTTAAAGCAGCACAATACTTATCGTTAATAAACTTAATTAAGCCCAACACAGTCTATATCCTGGCTCACCACGGACACGATCTCACTGCTGTCTCCAAAGTTCCTTGAAATGAGCAATCTTCCGCAGTAACTCTCTCTCAGTATGGCTTTCAAAACAGCCGTCGCTCCGACACAACAACCACTACTACTACATGGGTGAGTCTTTATATGCCTCAAAAAGTGTTCTGGAACATTCCAGGCGCTACACAAGAACTATTTTAGTAGTACTACATAATAAATGCGTGACTTCATGAAATGTTCTAGAAAGTGCAAGTCAGCATGACTCAGCATTCTGGGAATTTCTAGCTTACATTTACAACAATTATTCATAAGATATAATTTTCTTCTGAGTCTTGCCATGAATTAAGTTTATGGCGGCTGCGACAAGGATCACAGTAAATGGCAAGCTCAAAGTTGCCCAACTTGCTCAACTTGTCCGACACGTTCTGGTTGTAAGTCGTACTCGGTCCAAGTGCTTTTTAGCCAATCACTGAAGGGAAGCTTGTTCCTTCCCTCTGCCTCCTTTAGGCCTCCAATGGTTTCTTTTATGGCCTTTTCTAGTTTGGTCAAATCAGGAACATTCATTGGCCTGTAAATGTAGAAAAGTGAGTTATTTCATTTTCATAATTCAAGTTATTTATCAGAGCCAGTAAAGATTTATATTCAACCAACAAACTCGTATTAGATTATTAAATGGCAATTGATTTTACTTACACAACTTCCATTTCAGCGTCTTTCATAATTTTCAGTGCCTTTTCGTCGTCTCCTTCAAGAGCCATGGGCCATATAAAGTACAACCTCTTTATTTTGGCCTGTATGCAAAAGTAGCAAAGAAATGGTCGAATCTTAATTAGTCAAACATGTTGGAGCTTGAATGATGTCACTGCCCAAATGAGGATGCACATTTGAATGATCATGGGTTTTCAGGCCTTCGGAAAGAAATGGAGAAAGATGAAGAGAGATGATCTAAAGAGACTTGGCGTGGATGGCTGCGGAATTGATTGGGTTCGAGCTTAATCATATGAGTCAGTGGCTCACCTTAGGGTGATTGATACGAAATTGGCCATTGATGGAGCTATTTGGAGACTTGTCAATTTAAGGGTATTAAACAATACAGTTATCTCACAAAATATCGTACCATTAAAGAAATAGTACTTCCTCGTAAAACTGCTTTCACAGCTTAACGGAGTAACTTCAAAAACTTTAGCCTTCATTGCGCGATTCTCACCTGTGCAAGATTTTTCACTTCATGAAGCTTTGGGAAGTGAGTTGAAAATGCGATAAAATCGCGTCCTTCGCTGAATCGAAGACAAACTGCGTTTGTTAACGCAGACACTTGCATCGAGTCATCAGCTTCATCGTTGCTGACACCTCTCGGATATCCGTTGTACGATAACGCCAATGTCTGAAAGTTAAAAAGAAAGATAAATTTAATATGTAACGTGAATGCTGATAGGCAAACTTTATGTTAAATATATATAATTAACCATATTCAGAATACAGGATTCCAGATTTTTGCTAGAAACCGACAAGATTCCTAAATGCAAAATCATGTTCAAATTGACAAGCTCTCGACCAGGCTTCTGAGAGTCAACTATATCAGCTCTTCTAGTTCAGGAAATATCTTATTATTACAATATGTCTGAATAAATAAATTACTAAGAGAGGCATTGGACCAAGTAATTATGCTTTGGGCTTTGTTTCGTTTCTATAAATTTCATTACTTTGAAAAATATCTTTATTATTTCTATTTATTATGAGTTGGTTTATAATCCGTTGGATATGGCAGCCACGATTTAAATGTGAGTCGTATTTTCCACAGTGTTTCACTTAAATAATTGTTACGTTTTTGTTCAGATCTGTCCTAAATGGCTCTAAGATCCTTTATGTATCGATGACATAAAGTGGGTAACTCTGAAATTTGCCAATACATACCTTTAAGGTTTCAGAATCTATCAAGATTGCTCCTTGATGGTTTTTCAAGGCTCTTGTGCTGGCAATGAGGGCTAAGAACAGGAAATAGTCTATCCATTTGTCCAGTAAGATCTACAATCAAACGGTTTGAGTTATTCAACTGAGAGTATGAATACTTTTTGTTGCGTTACTGCGCAACAAAGACTCTATGTTTAGTTATAACAGGGTTAATGAGATTTCACCGGCTGACAAAACAGAAACATTCCTTGTTTCAAATTAAAAATTTGAAACAGGATGAAGAAAAAACTGAGATAAAGTTTATACGCTTCCTTCCCCTGACATAAGAATTACTGACCTGGTTCCTTAACTCTGTCTGCCATGGACTTTCTAGATCTTTCCCTCTTAGTTCTTCCGTGCTGTCCCACAAGGCTTTATAAGTACCATTTGGTTCACCCGGTGTCGTGTTTTGTCCCAGTACGAATCTAACCTTGTGGATCAGGTCTTCCTCGAAGTCTTTCAGCGTTGAATCCTCACCTCGCTTTATAGGCCTAAAGTAGCGTAATGAGATCCTGCTCTTAATTGACTAAAAAGGTGGATGCAAATATGGGCAAAAAGCTGCAGAGGCAGTTAGTAAAATGAAGGGAAAAAAGAGGGGGGGGCGCTTATTGGAAGGAGGGCACTTAATCGAGGGGGACACCTATAAAGTTAACGTAGCGATAGCACAACAATTCAAAAGAAAAACTCCGCGAGTACATAGAGCTGGAAATAACGGAAACGAAAAAGCAATTATTCTCGTGTACTGATTCCGCTCGTGTACTGATTGAAGCTTAAAAGTTGTAAATAGAGTGGCAATAAAAACATGTTTTCCTTATATTCATTCTACATAAGAAAGTAAAGGAGGAGGCGGAGCAACTATTCGAGAGGGGAGGGGGGAACTTGTTTGATATTATGGCCTGGCTGCCTAGGAGTGAGCACCTAATAGGGGGCGGGCGGGGGGGGGCGGCGCTTATTAGGTGTGGAAATACGGTATACAAAAATGAATATAAAAACACAAAAATTTTTGCTTAAGCTTATAACTTTTCGCACAATCATTGTAGATTGTTTAACATACCCTGATCAGAAAGCTATTTATTTTTAACACAATTTATATCAAGAGAGGATATTAGTGTCCTCTCATATTTATGGTAATGTTTTTTCTTTCGCGCCTAATCAATAGGTCAGTCCTCGTACTTATCATCAACTGTGATGAAAAGATCGGTGTATTGTGGCACAGAATTGGAAATTATCAAACCGACTTATTTCAATTTGGAATGATAGATCCATGTGGCAATAGGGATGGCATAGTGGTGAGAACGCCACTGTGACCCGGGTTCAATTTCCGGACCTAGCGTCACACGTGGCTCGAGTTTGTTGTTGGGTTTTGTCCTTGCTCCGAAGGGTTTTTCTCCGGGTCCTTCGGTTCTCCTTTCCTCCACACAAACCAACATTCCAAATTCCAAATCGATCTGGAAACAGTGGACAAGAAGAGCCACCTGGTGTAATTCCCGATTGCTAAATTCTCAGTTATTTAGTTACTTATCATTGTTTTTATTCTTTCGCGTGCATATTCTTTCGAACTGTGGAACTGAGTTGTGAAGTTCAAACCCAGATCATAGGATGTAATGGTGCATTTGTTTCTTTTTGTCAATTCAAAGCAGTGCACCATTATGATGTTTATTTGATAATAAATCTTACCACAAATATGTACAAGTTGTTATCAGAATTGATTTTATTCTAAACAGAGTTATTACTTACACGACCTCGACTTTGGCTGCCTCAAGGATGGGAGTTGACTCCTTTTGGTATTTATCTTTTGATGACAGATAATATACCTTACGGACACCCTTCTACAGATGGAATAAGAGATAGTCATCAATTAATTAGTATAGGTAAGCACATGATTTCGAGTCAATTCGGAATAAATAAGCACGAGTAAATTTTTTCAAAGACTAACAAAATTTCACGAGCCCGTAGGGCGAGAGCAACTTGTGGTCTTTGGAAAAAATTAACAAGTGCTTATTTATTCTAAATTGCACGAGAAAAATCATGTGATTATGTATTTATAATATACATGGAAAAATATGGGATAGCTTATCATAATTATGCAGAAGCAAAGCGCGCGCATCAATTGCAAAAATCAATTTACTCGAACCTGCAAGTGACATTGTGTGTTCGGTCAAAACCGCGTATGATCAAAACAATAATAATAACAATATTATACAATGATATTTTCACATCTTTAAGGCGCAGTTGGGTCGGCTCGCAATTTTCGATTTCCTTGGCAATCTCCTTCACTTTTTCCAAACCGACAACCAAAAGCAGTGCTTTTTACAGTTTGTTCGTTGTTAGAGCTGTTTTTCAGCTGCTGTGTTGTTGTTGCGTTGGCGACAGAAAACCTACTTAAAACGCCAGCCACTGTTTCGCTCGCAAATTTTCAGCGTATCCAAATGTTGCGACATCCAAGGCTTACATTTGATTGGCTATCTGTGAGTTTCTTATATATTGACCAATTAGAACGTCTGGTTTGTTACTTTTTTGCACTGAATTAACCCTCTTCTGCATTGAATAACCTGAAAAATGCATTTATCTTAATCAATCAGAACTGAGAAAATTTTTTCATTTTATATTATTATCCCTTTTACAGTGATAATAATACAAACATTTAATCCCTTGAATATAAGGACACAAGTTTGCATTCTAAGACACATAAGCTTCGGTAACAAGGCTTTCAAGTCCACCTGTTTAGCCTTCCTGTGGGAGAAACTTGAAATTAGCAAGTAAAAGGGTGCTATACAGTAACCTTTTTTAATATCGATAACTCACGGACTTTGGCTGGCGCGCTTAAGCACAAGACGGCCTTCTTAATCGTGTAGTGGTGGTTAATTCTTAACTCCCTAACAGAATAGAGTGAACGATTAGCAACTTTCCGAATGGCCATTTTAAGAAGATCTAAAAAAGTCTAAAATTAATGAAGACAACACTCAAAGTTCTCATTAAGCCAACCGCTTGATACAGGTTTCAAGATGCAGATTCTCTCGCTTATGGGCCCTGTTTCACACAGGTTTTACAATATAGGCTATATCAATGTTCTCGATATCACTCACCGCTATTAACATTTTCGCACACTCCAGACAGGGAAACATCGTAACGAAGGCAATTGAACCTTCAAGATCAGCTTGGCCTGCCAGGAGCACAGCGTTGGCCTCTGCGTGGACGACAAAATCATGTTTTGCTTCTTTATTCCAGTATTTGTCCTCGTTTGGGGTTCCGGGAGGAAATCCATTGTAGCCGACGCTCAAGATCTGCCAAGGGTTGTAGGAAGTTAGTTTGTGAAAGGAAGGGTTCACCCGCCGCATTTTTCTGTCCAAAATGGTACCAGGATAACGTCGGCAAAATCACAACCATAGTTGTTCTGCGATACAGGTTTGCTTTTTCCTGTAATGCTCTTTAGGCATGGCGGGTGATGTTTCTAAGTGTATATTTCCTTACAGCCATAACAAATAATAGCCCAAAATATTACTCACCCTCAGTGATTTTGGGTGTACAATTACGCATCCCACTTGCAGGATCGGGTCTTTTGACCTCATGGAGGCACAGAATGCCACATCCCGGTAAAATTCGACCCACTTCGACCGCTAACAAAGCAAGATACAGAGAAATTTATAAGATGAATTTCCATGTTTCTTAGTCTAATTCAAAACCAAAGCATCATGTGTTTTAATGGAAAAACAGAAAGACCATGAATTTTTAGCCCATTTGTTGCGTACACCGCATAGAAAACCAATTGCTTTGGGAACATTTAGTGGCAATTCATGGGTCTCAAATATTCGACAAAGAAAAACTTTAAGGTTAGTCGTAAGCGCTCTCTGGTGAGTCATTACTATTGATACCTGCTGCATTGTAAATTTTTGGCCTTTTCCTGTGGTTTATGGACTTTGAATTTCATGTTTATTATCTTTGACCGCTTAAATCTTTTGAATGTGTCATTTTCGAAAAGTTCTTTTGAATAGGCCAATACAGTTTTCACATATCAAACTCATGGGGTACAAATAGTCTTAAGATGAATGTGGTGACCACGCCCACTTCAACACCCCACTCAAATCGATTGTAATTTTCTAATGTTTTACCATCGTGCGGATTATCTACGGAAAAAGCACTCAATGTACCTCTGAAATATTAAACTATTATATTGTGGCTTTCTATTTCGCTAATTTTCTAACTTGAAGGTAAAGTTTTTCCCTCGTCATTTTTACCTTTTCTCCGAGCGGTTGCGTGAAATTAACAAGGCGTTTTTGATCAAAACACGACCGAGCGAAGGGTCTCGGGCGATATCTCTTTTACGCAGGCGCAAATTAAAAATGTACCGCCAGAATCAAAAAGAGGAACGAATTTCCTTTGTTTTGATATGTAAAGTGTCGAACAAAAAGCAGATTTACCCTCGTCAAATGGCGTTTCAAAACAGCTGTATCTTCCTCCTTTTGATTTTTTTCCTGTTTTGTAAGCGTGAAAGCAGTAGGAGAGGGATCGGGAAACTCAGAAAGCGCTTCGGGAATTAATCTGCCATCGTTTATTTACAAGCTAAACAAGTAAGATTTATGAAGTTCGTTGAATTATGAAGTCTGAATAAATGCTTTTTTTAAGCTTGTTTGCTGGATTTTTCGTAAACTTCCCTTATTAATTTTTCGTTTCAGCTTACTAATCTATACTATTTCAAAGTAATGTAAAGACGAAGACGGAGAACCATGAGTCGTTCCTTTCAACAATCGTAAACAAAGTGTTTGAGCAATCAGATATACGAGGTGTAATAATCAATAGCGGCATATCAGAAGTCTTCAGAAAGAAAGTATTCTGTCTTCAGAAAGCTGTCAAGAAAGCTAGTAATCGTGGCGGAAGGTAACTAAATGCACTTCTTAGCAAGTTGGAAACGGGCCCTCGGTATCGATTTAATATCATATCGATCTCAATATCATACAGTTTTGTATCTTTCTTCCGTGGATTCGCCTTTCTAACGAGGGTGTATGTTGAGTATTCATTGCAAAATTGCTTTGTTTTTTTTATTTCCCTCTTTGGCTTGTCCGCCATTTTGAAAATTCGTAACGGGGAGCATGCGCATTACGTGGGGTTAGTGGTTGCGTACACCTGGAACCGAGAAAAACAAATGTTCGTCGCACTAGGGAAAGAGTTTGATATGATTGCTTTGAATGAAACTTTTGTTTTCGACCTGGTTCAATGCGGATTTTTGCACTAAGTGCCACCGCCAGAGTTTGTTCTTCAGACAAATTTGTCTTCTTCCTCGGCTAAAGGCACGAAATTCAGTTTGTATTTGGTGATGCAGCAAAGGTGAAGAGAAGCAACTCACTAATTAACGGCCGATTTTCCTGCTGTAGTCCATAAGCTAATACACACATAATCTATATCAAGTTCAGATTTGTGTCATATCACACAACACCGTTTAACTTGGACAACTTTTAAACCGCACGACCCTCTGACACATTTTCATTTCGTTCCCAGAATTGAAGCGTGTAGCCGGATAGTGCGAGGTATTCTCTATGGAGTCTTACAAAATCAATTTTGAGATTAATATAAAGATTTTAGTCACGTCCTCCGTCCTCAAAAGCTATGCAAACCCAAGACGCTCCCAACTCTCCCTCGTGTTTAGATGAAAGTATAAGTATGTCAACATGGAAAAAATTATGCACTGCTTAAATATAAGATTAGTTAGCATTGTTGTCTATGATCATGCAAATTTCAAATTTGATTTTGAACGATTTTCACCAAATTCAAGAGGTGAGGTAAGTCTTGGTCTTATTTGTGGTATTGTCGAACTTCGACAAATTTCCGTTGAAAAGGTAGAATGTTTTGTGCGATACAGGAAACAAAATTCAACATGACGACTTTCGCTTTCTCTTTTCTCTTGCCTCTCAAGTTGGTAATTTCTGTTCCAATATAAATTACGCGGAGAAATTCGACCACGTCGCAAGCCATGCATGAAAATCGAAAATGTCATAATCTATTTCTAGAACGGTTGAAGACAAGGAAATTTAATCGAGCTGATTTATCCCAAATTGCACTCGAAATCATGTGATTACCTATAATAACCTAGGGTCAAAATAGCCGAGTAAGAGTTAAACTATCTCTTCTTCGCGGCACGGGTGTCGTTTCATGTTTTCATTTTAGCTTTTAAACACAGTTAATGGAAATTCTATAAGGTTATCTATAAACGCGTAAAGGATGATTTCTTCAAGAAAACACTTGGTTGACGCTGACAGATGTATCGATTTCCCAACTGTGACAGTTCACCGTCTCGTCTGTTGAATATGTAAATATCCTTTCGCTTAGTTCTGTCTCAATGGACGAAACGGAGGACGCGAATCATGATGAAAAAAATGAAAGAAATTCTTCGTAGTTTTACTGATCTTTGACAGAAGGTCGAAAAATACGAAGACTTATTTTAGCCAAAAACGAGCACCTACACGAAATTGGAGAGAGAGTGGATGGTTTCTGAAATAAATACAATTTATCTTTAAATTACTCCTAAATCAAGCCTTGGGTCGCTAACCCAATATCTGAAACGAAAAGATCTCCCTTTTAAAATGAATTATCAGAGCATTTTTCACACGGCGCAGGAAAATCTATGGTGCGTTACTTTTTCTCGCCTTTAGCAAGTTAAAAGATACATATTACAAGCCGTAAACAAGAGTTGAACAGAATAATAACCTCGACGGACAGTACACGTTTAAGTCCACTTGTCAAAGTTGTGAATTTAGCGTGCCCAAAAGTTATAAGTAAAATGACTTAAACACGTCGACTAACTGCATTCTATAGCAAGATAGAGTTTTCCAAAGAAAGTAATACAAATATCTGCACTATGAAGAAGAAATCCCGTTAACTTCCTTAAGCCGAAGTAGACGAAGATGAAAATGCATTACCGCGATTTCTCGCAGAATATTTAATATTTCACCTTTAAAAATGAATTCTCTGTGCATATTCCTACACGGTGCTAAATCATTAATAAAAAAAAAAGGAAACAAATCCAACCTTCGCCTGCTTCATCGACATTTCCTCGCTCCGCTCGTTCATTCTTGTCCAAGAGCAAGTCCAAACGGAGATTTTATGAGAAGACGCAAAACTACATTCTCTAAAAATATTTACTGAGATATTTGTTACATTTGCAAAGGAGACTTCGTAAGATCATGAAAGTTTGAAAAGTTAGAAGCCTAAAATCGAGTTCATCATTTTATTTGGCTGACTACGTTCTAAGTCAAGTTTTAAGCAACAAATTTGCCAGAATCTAACATTATTTGGAGGTTAGATCGTCTGGCTTTGAATGTCCAGTGCAAAACATTTCAGTTTTGTAAAGCGGGAAAGATTGTTTCTAAATTTATTTTTTACTACTAACCTTTTACACAAGAAGTTTGTATTGTTTGATATTCTAGTCGTATGACTGATGAAACCAAAAGCAAAAAACTGAAATACGACTTCCCCTGCAAAACAAAGATAAATGCAAATAGCTATTGTAAGAAAGACGTGAAAACTTCTGTAAAGTAGAAGTAAAATGGTTTTTAAAAAAAATTGATGAACCGAAGAGGGAAAAACGGTTACCAAGTATAAAAATTAGCTCGATTTGTACAGAACGCAAAAAAGCCTTCAGAAACCTGAAAATCAATCGCTCATCATCCTCTCCAAATTAAGCACGCAGGCCTGAATTATCAAACAGACTAGATTTCCCCGCCTCGAATTAATTTGAAATTAAGCAATACTGTGCGATTTGTCTATACTCCGCGTTTGAACTGACGCTGAAAAAGGTTAAGCTACTTATGAAGGCCAAGGAAACAACATTGGCAGAACCAGTCCAAACGGAGATTTTATGAGAAGACGCCACAATTCATTCTCTAAAAATATTTACTGTGATATTTATAACATTTGCAAGGGAGACTTAGTATAAGATCGTGGAAGTTAAGGTCCTAAAATTGAGTTCATCATTTTATTTTGCAGACTTTGATCAACTTAAATCAAGTTTAAAGCAACAAATCTTTGCCAAAATCTAAGATAATTTGGAGATTAAATCCTCTGGCTTTGAATATCCAGTGCAAAACATTTCAGTTTTGTAAAGCCGGAAAGATTGTTTCTAAATTTATTGTTTTACTACTAACCTTTTACACAAGAAGCTTGTGTATAAGAGGGAAAGGCGGTTACCAGGTATAAAGTTGAGCTCGATTTGTACTGAAAAAAAAAAGAGACCGTTTAGGAACCTGAAAATCAATCGCTCATCATCCTCTCCTTAAATTAAGCACACAGGGTTGAATTATCAAACAGACTGAATTTCCCCGTCTCGATTCAGTTTGAAATTTAGCAATACTGTGCGATTTGTGTATACTCTGCGTTACAACTGACACTGAAAAACGTTAAGCTACTTATGAAGACCAGGGAAAAACATCGGAAGAGCCAGTCCGAACGGAGATTTTATGAGAAGACGCAACGCTTCATTCTCTAAAAATATTTACTGAGATATTTGTTACATTTGCAAAGGAGACTTAGTAAGATCGTGGAAGTTAAAGGCCTAAAATTGAGTTCATCATTTTATTTTGCAGACTATGTTCAGTTGAAGTCAAGTTTTTTAAAAGCAACAAAGCTTTGCCAAAATTCAAGATTATTTGGAGGTTAAATCCTCTGCCGTTGAAAGTCCAGTGCAAAACATTTCAGTTTTGTAAAGCGGGAAAAATTGTTTCTAAATTTATTTTTTTACTACTAACCTTTTACACAAGGAGCTTGTTTTGTTTGATATTCTAGTCGTATGACTGATGAAACCAAAAGCAAAAAACCGAAATACGACTTCCCCTGCAAAACAAAGATTAATGCAAATAGTTATTGTAAGGAAGACGTGAAAGCTTCTGTAAAATAGAAGTAAAATGGGTGAATAAAAAACCTATGAATCGAAGAGGGAAAAACGGTTACCAAGTAAAAAGATTGAGCTCGATTTGTACAGAACACAAAAAAGGGCTGTTCAGGAACCTGAAAATCAATCGCTTATCATCCCCTCCATAAATTAAGCACACAGGGTTAAATTATCAAACAGACTGGATCTCCCCGCCTCGAATTAATTTGAAATTTAGAAATAACGTGCGATTTTTGCATACTCTGCGTTACAACTGACACTGAAAAACGTTAAGCTACCTAGGACGGCCTAGGAAACAACATTAGAAGAGCCGGTCCAAACGGAGACTTTATGAGAAGAAGAATTTCTGCTCATTTCATGAACATATTCATGACAAAAATTTCAATTTCGAATGGCCTTATTTCACTCATTGTTTACATTGGGAACACTAAAAACGGTTACCATCTTTCTGAATCTTAAAACTTGTTTTGCCGAAGATAACTGACTCCCCGCGTAAAACGTAATGTGTAAATCATTTTAGCATTTGTAAACTTCTCAGATTGAGCATGTCTATTTGATTAAACTCACACAAGCGGTTTGATTGTTAACAACTGATGGAAAGGTATGAATGAAACGAATTTGACTCAACACGGCAGAAGTACCGATGTTTATGCGTTGGATATTCTTTATCCATGGGATACAAGGACAATTTTGAAAAAAACGGGAATTTATCAAGATCGACGTCCTTCTAGAGGAATTCATGTTATGTAAGAATATTAATCAATTAAACAATGGTCTATGTAAAAGCAGCTCTGATTATAAAGGCGCTGAAATATGAATTGGAAAATTGATGAGAGGTCGCATCAACACATCAGCACATTAACAATTGAATATCGTACTTACCTCGACTCTAACTCTGAACGCTTTATTGCTTTGTATAGTGAAGCAGCCAAATTTAGAATTAGAATCAGCAGCATGTGTCTATTTTAAGGTTACAGGCACGTGGTGAATCTCAGCCCACCCCTGAGGGACCGAGATTGAGTATGCATTGTAAGACAAGTCGAGGAGAGGTTTGCGGGGAATCTGGCACTAATTATCAGTACCAAAGCCCGGACAGACCTCTCGCTGGCTCATGTTTCCGAAGACCTCATACGTTCGCGCGGGCGAAGAAGCGCTCGTGACCAAATGCCAATAATGAGGTCTTGCATGTTAGCGTATCCTCCCTCGTAGCATTTGTTCGCTCTCGTCACGCAACGGGAGGAGAGAGAGAGCGTGTTGCGTGACGAGACCAAACAATGGCTCTGAAGGAGACAACAGTGAGTGTTGCACCTTACAATTATTCAGACAACAAAGACAATAGACAGCAAAAGACCTGTGCCTGAGTTTATTTCGAATGAATTGAAAGGGCTTTTTTTCGCTTCCCATTTAACGATATTTTCTTTGGAATCTTTTGAAAAGTGATTTTTTTTTCTTGTACAAAAATGCAAACGTCAGTTACTTGGTGGCCCATCCTAACCCACAAAACGCTTGCATCCGTTGCATACCTTTGTTTACACACTGCGTGGCCAGGAGGAGAAGAATCTCGTTTTACTGCGTCGTTTAACGTAACACTTGATGTGATTAGCGATCTATCAGCCTGCAGGCTTGTCCTCTTTAGTGCTGCAGCGGACGCGAATAACGTGAACAATATATTTTTTTATATTTATCAGATATATTCGCTTCAATTCTTGAAAATTAACATATAATTTCTCATGCATTACAGTATCAATGCATTTATAATATTCACTGAACAGATACAGAAAAAAGCCAAGCTCTCTCAACTGATTTAAGAGTCTATGGGGAGAATTTCTAATTTGATCTTGAGGATTAGAGAATAAAGTTTTTCTCTCGATGAATTTTATGACTAACTTTGGCCTTACAAGCAACACAAAAAGTTGTGCTATTTTTAATTCGGAATGTATGCTTGTGTTTGGTGCTTGTTCCCTCCTTTTCAGAGAAAATCAAGTCAAAAAGTTTATTCATTGAGGTCCACTATAGCCTGCCACGAATCTCCCATAGCTCATTGGCAGAGCGTCCGAACACAGGCATACCACATTATGTATTCCTCGTTAATAATTGTAGACATGAGACAAACAAAATCTATGAGGGTAATGAATAAAGCTCTGAAAATTGCCTGTCTAAATTACATCTCGGTCTGAATATCTCAATTAAGTTAAATGGAATGTTAATCGACGCATCTGTGATATTTTAAAGCCTCCATGGGCCGTTTGAAGCGTCTTTTTACGAAATAACTTTTAGCCGGAAGCCGTTGGTAGAAGCAAGTAATTTCGTAAAACTGACGCTGACAGGGTGAAAAGTTATTTTGAAATAAAGAGACAGTGGGAATGATTTTGTGCAAGCTTTGGCCAAAAAAACACCTGGGCTCCATGTGACATATCGCTTCAAAGGAATACCGTGGTGGGCAACAGGCGGATCGCCTTTCGAGTGTGTTGACATATTTAAATATACCCAACAAATACGGAGAAATATATGGAAATTACGGATGGAACGCTGAATGATTTTAAACTCTGAAAAGTTTTAACGCATCCTGGTCTGAAATTCTAATCAAAGAAAATGTTCCCTGCAACGTCGACATACCAAGTCTAAAATACGTTTACAAGCAAGGTACGTACAAAGCTAAAAAAAAAGCTAGACTGGGGGAGGGGGCGAGCGTACATTACTGTTTATCTGTTTCGATACGTTTTCGTTGCGATCTCTGTTGCATTCCCAATTCAAATAAGTTTGTTTCGATATGAAGCGAGAATGTTACTCATATAAATGCCGGTGAGAAGGAGACAAAGATAGTTATTTGACGACTTCACTGTTCATCGTACAATTCTGCCGAGCATCCTCAACAAAAGGAACACTGCACGCGCAGTCTTTGATGCCTTATATGGTAATGCTTCCCATACGATGGAAAACGAAAAGGTTACAACGACGCACATGAAAAACTTGCAAAGTCAGCTTGAAGAGGCTTTTGTCGACTGTAAACAAAAACACGAAAAGTTAATCGAGCTCATTGATAAAGACTCCGCAGAACGAGAATTGCGGTGGATTTTTGACGTTCAACAACGCTACAGTGAAATTTCAGAATTAATGGCAACCCGCGTCGATGAAAATGAAAGCAAAACCTTCATCAAATCCAATGACGGAGCAACCCTTAAGCTTACCACTGATGCCATGAAACCTAGCAATATTCACCTAGAGAAGATCAAAATGCCGAGATTTGATGGCGAGTTAAGAGATTACCCCCAATTCAAACGAGACTTCGAGAAACAAGTTATGCCCAATTTGAATATTAATACCGCACCTTATACGCTAAGATCCTGCTTAGGAATGGAACCCCTTGCTCATGTAAAAAGCGTAGACGACGACATCCAAGCAATGTGGGAGCGACTAGACTCCAAATACGGCGATCCTGCAAAAGTCGCTGATGCCATCATAAATTCCATTCAGAATGTTAAATGTATTAAGGAAGGTGAGCACAAAAAGTTCATTCAATTCGTCAATGTAATTGAAGAAGGCTATCGCGATCTATGCAACCTAAAATTGGAGAAAGAGATAACTACAACTAGCTCGATCAGCATCATTGAGAAACGATTACCCCCTGACGTAATGAAAGAATGGGCGAGATTAGTCAGCAACGACACGAGCACCATTGATAAAACTGATAAGTTTCCAAGTCTATTGAGATTTCTACTGAACCTGAAGAGAGCTCTTGAATACCAGAACGCAGAGTTACGCCTGAGCAGTGAAAAAATTAAGGGTTCCGTGAATCATACTGACAAGAAAGATGACAATCCAGTTGAACAACAACGAAATACCAAACAAAACAGGCAATGCCTTATTCACGAAAATGGTAACCACTGGACAAGCGAGTGCCGAGTATACCTCTCCAAACCGATTGAGGAAAAGGAGAAGATTGTCAAGGAGAAGGGTGCTTGCTGGTCGTGTTTGAGACGTGGACATCGCTCGCAACAATGTCGAAGCAAACGAATCTGCAATGTCAATAATTGCAAAAGACCACATCACAGTACACTGCATCAAGAGAAGAAAGTAGAACCCTCGCCCAAACAAGAAGAAACGCCACCTTCAGTTTCTGGCACGGCAAGTGTATGCGACAGCACTGACGTTGACACCTGTTTACTTCAGATACAGAAAATACGAAGTCCAAAAGGTTGGGTTAATGTCTTGTGGGATAATGGAGCATCCCTTTCCTTTATTACAAATGCAAAAGCAGAGGCAGAGAAACTGAGAGGAACCAAAGTTCAGCTATCTCTGGTTAAGGTTGGAGGAGAGAATGAAGCCCTGATTTCATACAAGTACAAACTTCCTCTATTTGACCTACAAGGCAATCGGATTTACTTTGACGTGTACGGGATAGACAAAATCACTTCAGACATCATGAACGTTAAGATAGACGGGATTGCAAAACACTTCAATAACATACCAAAAGAAGATCTTGTTCGACCCACTGGTACCGTCGATGTTTTAATAGGCTATGAATACGCCAACTATCATCCTCAGAAGGAGAAGAACGTCGACCACCTCCTACTCCTAAAGAACCGTTTCGGTAGATGCCTTGGCGGGACACATTCTTCAATCAAGAATATGAATGAAGAGCAACCTCTTAGAAACATCAGAGCTCATCATGTACGAGCAGTAAGAATCGAAGATTTCTATAACATCGAGAATCTCGGGATCAATTGCAATCCGCGCTGTGGAGGCTGCAAATGTGGCAAATGTTCAGTCGGAAGTAAAAACTACAGCATCAAAGAGGAGAAGGAATTAGCACTAATCGACAAGAATTTGAAATACGACGAAGAAAATAAGATATGGATTGCCGGGTATCCATGGATCAGAGACCCTTATGAACTTCCTGACAACAAGCGCGTAGCATTCAGCATGCTCATGTCAACTGAAAGGCGACTCATGAAAAATAAAGCTCACGCTGACGTCTATCAAAAGCAAATAGAAGATATGATTGCTAGAGGTGTAGCAAGAAAACTCTCCCAGGATGAGTTACAAAGCTATAAAGGACCAATCCACTACATTTCTCACCACGAAGTCCTGAAACCCGACTCAAAATCGACCCCCGTGAGAATCGTCTTCAACAGCAGTGCGAATTATATGGGACACGTCCTAAATGAGTATTGGGCCAAGGGTCCAGACTTACTGAACGAATTACTAGGAATCCTGATACGATTCAGAGAAAATGAAATCGCCATCATCGGAGACGTAAAGAAGATGTATCATACTGTCAGAACTCAGGAAACTGATCACCATACTCATCGCTTCCTATGGCGTGACTTCAATACAAGTCAACATCCCAATACATACATCATACAAAGGGTTTCCTTTGGAGATCGCCCCTCTGGGACCATAGCGACACTGGCATTACGCAAGACAGCAGAGCGACTCAAACAGCAATACCCTGAGGCAGCAAACGTAATAATCAATAACACCTACATGGATGACCTTATCGAAAGTGTTCCTACGCTGAAAGACGCCAAAAACCTTGCCTCAGACATGGAGAAAGTTCTGATCACAGGAGGATTTCAGATTAAAGAGTGGATGTATTCCTATAACGCAAGCCATGTTCAATCAATCCTACCAGTTACACCCAACACAGCGACGGAAAAGGTCCTTGGTGTCGAATGGAATACTAACCAAGATGAACTTTGCTTCAAGGTCAAGCTAAATTTACAAGGCAAAATGAAGAAGAAGAATCCCAAGCCCATCGCTTGTGACGCTTTGACGAAAAGGAAGATCCTGTCACAAGTGAACAGCATATACGATCCACTCGGACTAGCAGGACCAGTTACTGTCAAAGCTAAGATCCTCATGAGACAACTATGGATAAGTGACCTCACCCTCGACTGGGATGATCCTATACCATCAGATCACACGAAAGACTGGATGATTTTCTTCGATGATCTGCCAGGAATGAATGAAGTGAAAATAAGAAGATGCATGAAAGCTCCTAATACCGTAGGAAATCCTATCCTCATCATTTTCTCTGACGGGTCGACAAACGCGTATGGCGCATGCGCATATGCTAGATGGAAACTGACAACAGGAGAATTTGATAGTCATCTCATCATATCTAAAAACCGCTTAACACCTGTAAAGAAAATATCCATCGATCGTATCGAACTTTGCGGAGCTGTACTAAGCAGCAGATTGAAAACAACTATAACATCCCACTGTAGATACAAGTTTGAAAGAATCATCTATATTGTAGACTCGCAGATTGTCCATGCCATGATCCAGAAGGAGAACTATGGTTACAACACATTCGCAGCCGTTCGGGTGGGAGAAATCCAAGAAAACACAGATCCCGAAAACTGGTATTGGACAGAGAGCAAAAATAACATCGCCGACTGGCTGACCCGCGGAAAGAAGTCAAATGAAATTGGCATGTACACTTTGTGGCAAAAAGGACCGGATTTCCTGAAGCTGCCTGAATCTGCATGGCCAATCACACGTACTTATACACAACGGCATGCAAACGTAATCACACATACCAAACCAGATGAAGCTGTAAACGATTCACTCGCAAAACGAATAAACATTGATAGGTTCTCAACCTACAATAAGCTTATCCATACAACCGCTCGAATTCTAGCAATGTATAATAAGACACACAAGATGACATTTAAAAATGCCTCAAGACCGCTCACACCAGATGATATCTCGAAGGCAGAAACATTTTGGATTCATGAAGCTCAAAAATCAATGCAACGTGACATAGATAAAGGGAAATACAAACGACTTTGTCCAAGGAGGCGCGATGATGGCATATACGTCGTAGGTGGCCGCGGTGAGAGATGGATCGAGATGAGTTATAACAAAACCGAGGTAATACTTCTGCCATATCAACATCGCCTCTCACGCCTTTATGCTGAGCATATTCACAGAAGAGGCCATCTCGGATTCCTCGCGACGGCCAGCAAGGTGAGATCAAGATTTTGGATCACGAAGTTGTTGAAACTAACCAAATCCATCAAATACAACTGCATTATCTGTAGAAAGCTTGAAAGAAAACCAGAAGAACAAATTATGGGAAAACTCCCAATAGAGAGGCTGAAACCCGCACCCCCGTGGAATTCCACTGCGATTGATTATTTCGGACCCTTCAAGATTAAAGACGAAGTCAAGAAAAGAACATTTGGAAAGGGATATGGAGTACTGTTCAACTGCATGGGAACCAGAGCTGTCCATATCGACATAGCTCCTGATTACAGTACCGACAAATTCCTAATGGTACTAAGAAGATTTGTATCGATCAGAGGATACCCTTCCAAATTGTATTCTGACAATGGCAGCCAATTAGTAGCAGCAAGAGCCGAGCTAAAGAAAGTCATCAACGACTTAGATAAGAAACAGCTATTAGAGTTCGGAGTAATGGAAGGATTTGAATGGAAGTTCTCATCAGCAGATGCCCCCTGGCAAAACGGTGTATCGGAAGCACTTATTAAATCCGTGAAAAAAGCAATCACATTAGCTATTGGTGAAAGCGTTCTAACCTTCTCCGAGTTACAAACCATTTGTTACGAAGCGGCAAATCTTGTAAATGAACGACCAATCGGCCGACATCCTACATCAACAGATGATACCTATCTTTGTCCCAATGACCTCCTCCTTGGTAGAGCAACATCAAGAGTACCAAGTGGACCTTTCAAAGAGCCGTCCAACATCAAACAGCGCTTTGAACTTGTACAACAACTAACTGACTCATTTTGGCGGAAATGGACTCGAGACTACTTTCCAAGCTTATTAGTCCAACAAAAATGGCACACGGCCCAGAGAAACCTTGAAATTGATGACATTGTTCTTATCCAAGATTCTAACGCGAAAAGAGGACAATGGAAACTTGGGAAAATATCAAAAGTTTACAAAGGGGAAGACGGGAAGGTCAGACGAGCCCTCGTCGAATATAAAAATCCCAAGCCTGGCGAAAAAGTGACCGAATACAAAGGGAAAGGCTTTACAACTATCGAACGACCAGTTAACAAGCTGATAACTATCCTACCTGCATCAGAACACAAATGAACTATCTCAAAACATTTTGGCAATAATAACTCTGAACTATTATGTGTAATTCTGAAATGATTTTTACCGAAAACTTTAAACAGTCTGTAATTGCCGGCGGGGAGTGTATTGCGCAAAATTCTAATTTCTTTGCGCATTATAATTTGATGACGTAACAGATATAATTGTTAAGATTTTCTATCGCTAGACAGTGTTATGGACACCTAGAACCAATGGGTAAATATTTACCTTGATTTCTTTTGATATTATCGATATGAACTGAAACTAATTTGTTAACGCATTACTTTACAGATTTCGAATCTTCGATCCATATCCATGAATTTTGTCATAACATTCATCCGTTCTTTATTGTAATAAAATATCGAGGTTTGGAACCTTTGGTAAATTAATGTCCTAACACATCGTCACAACGATCAAGTGACCAATATAATTGTATTTAAACTCTAAATTTTCTGTTTTGTTTTAGTTGAAAACCAGCGGCTCTCCGCGATTTCTACGAAACAAAATTCTACTCATACTCAGGCGTTCCTCACCTAAAAATTCACGCGAAAAAATGAAGGGAATTTAAAAGACTTTTTGGTTCCTTTTCTCCATAGACCCTCGCATCCGCTTGAAGACGAATAGCGATTTTCCTCTTAGAGAAATTTTACCGCTTTTGCCAAGACAGAGAAGAACCAATTTTCGTTAGGTTTTTCGGGCTTAGTCGTTCACAATCGCTAAACTCTCGTCAGTTCTCGTTATTGAATCGGTAAACTCAGTCATTTGTCTTAGTCATTTTTACCCCGATTAGGACACAGCGACAAACTTCGTGAAACAGACTGCTATGCTTTCCAGAAAGAGTATACAGAGCGTAATAACGTATACACAAGTAACGAATTCGCTTTTGAGATCAAAATACAACAATTTACGGCTAGTTTTCGGCGAGTTCAAGAATAACACTTTGTTGTACAAAAAGAATTTTTCTGGGCGTCTGTAGGGATGATTTATGTCTCTATTTATCTGGTGTTCTTCTCATCATGGTGGATGGATGTTGTGTTCTGTGATCAGGTGTCTGTTTGTATCCCCTTTCTAAAGCTCAGCAAAGCACGGATCGTGTTTTATTGTCATTTTCCTGATTTGCTCCTTACTCAACGAAAAAGCTATCTTAAAATTAGCCCTATCGTGCTCCGTTAGACTGGTTGGAGGAGCCCACAACTGGTAAGTTGAAATGTGATCTTCACTTGTGAAGGATAATAAAGAAGTCTTTGTCCTGGTGCTTAGTTTTGAGGGTTGGGGGGGTGCTAGTTCAGATTCAAACTGACAGGGGTGACCAGAGGCTATTTATATTATATGTAATGGTTCTTTTAATTCTTCCTTATAATTTTTCTTTGGGATGGGAATGGGAGCCTGATTTTAAGACACTATTTTGGGGAATGGATAAACTTGCTTGCGCAAGTAAATATACCTTGTCCAGGGGATTTTGGAAAGTTTGATTTTTATCTCAAAGCAAGTATGACCATCAGTCTGAATACAGATTACTTCTTCCCTCATACTTAGCTGTTTACACCCAAACATCTGTATACATATTCTCTATACTTTCTTTATACATTTCCTTAGGTATTGAAAAGGAGAATTAGTGCGACAAACAGGAGCTTCTTGAATTTTTTATAATTTTAAAAAATAACTCTATGTTAGTGTGTAGAGTATATCACAGCATTTGGATATCTTGCACCAATCACAGCATTTGGATATCTTGCACCAATCACAGTGTTTGGTATTGTAAATGATGTATAAATTAATGTTTGAGTATCTTGTAAATGATGTCATGGAACCAGGGGGACATGCACAAAGATTAATGTTCACCAGAAATTTGAGACTCATTTGATAAGTGTAATGGTTTGTTACCTTTGCAAGAGCCTAGTTGATTAAGGCTAAGATTTATCAGGATATAAAAGGTTCATGTTTAACTTTTTGTATCATTTTCATTATTACCAGGCTTCAGGTACCAAGAGTAATAATGTAAGGAAATCTGTAGGAGTCAGTAACTCAAAGGGAATGAAGGGTTGATGGGGCATTGATCTTTTTTTCTCAGGGGATGGAAAAATGGGTGTGACTTTTAATTAAATAATATCCATTAGATTATTATACAATTCTCATGTAACTAATGGTTAAGAAACTTGTAAGAATTATGTCAAGTTTCATGTAAACCTTTCACACCTAAGATCTCACTGGTATTTCTCTTTACAGTCTGCCTTACTGTTCTTGAGATGTTACTTCAGATAATTTGATATTGGATAAAATAATAATCTCCTAATTGATATTTTTCTTTATTCTATCACTTTTCTGCTTGATATTGTATTTACGTTGTAAGGAAAAATTCTGTCCTGGTCATGTATGGGAGGAAGAGGGTTAAAATATGAAAAATAGGCTGCTTATGGTTAGTTAATGTCATGTACATGCAATGGCAGTGTCAGCAAATATGATCATTCTTTTTCCATTTCAGGCATGGCAGATAGTGTTCTTGTAAACAGCAATTTTACTGCTGAAACATTTTTGTCAACATTTACAAGTCTGTGCAGTAACCGTCCACGTGTCTTGTATCCTTCATTGAATTTTTCTTCATTTGATAAACCAGTTGTAAAGGAGGAAATTGAAGACCTCATACCACCTACTGCCAAGTGTGTTTTCTTGTCTATAAATCGGTATGAAAGAAAGAAAAATTTGAACCTTGCCTTGGAGGCATTAGATTGGCTCAGGAATATTATCAGTGACAAGGAATGGAAGGATGTTCATCTAGTTATGGCAGGTAAACAATAAGGTACCTTTTATTTATCAAGTTTGAGGTCTTTAGCTTACATTACATGTACCTCTTACTTACCAAGTTCGAGGTCCATTCTTTGAGTTACACTCCAAAATTTTTGGATTTATGGCCCAAGGGCAAAGTGTATGGGTAATAAATCCATGCAAAAATAACTATTTTCTGTAACTTACAGTACAGAACAACAAAACAAGGTTTAAGTAAGGTATTTATTATATCTCTGGGTTCAAAAAGAAGGGGAACATTTCAGTTCAAACAATTATTTGATACATGTGGAGATTTTCACCATAAAGCACTATTGTCCATGTCTCTGATAGGACAAATGATGTATTTTCAGTCATTTTCTTCTGATCATATTGAAATGTGAAAAAATGTCAGTATGTATGAAACAAAAACATAATACCATGGAAAGTGCTTGAACAATTTTCATTCACTAGTTGTGATGCATCAAAAATTCACTTGTTTGCTGTGCTCACTCATTTGTACATTTGATGCATTGCAACTTGTGAATAAAAGTGGTTTGTGCCCACTTTCCATGGAACAGTCTCTATTTATGCAATATTTCTTTGTTGTTCTTACAGGAGGATATGATGACAGAGTAACAGAAAACAAAGAGCACCATTTGGAACTTTGCAAACTTGCTGAACAATACAACCTGAACAGTAAAGTCACATTTGTGAGATCATTAAGTGATGCTCAAAAGCTAAGTCTTCTTAATCAATGTTCTTGCTTAATCTATACTCCAAGTCATGAACACTGACTTTGGGATTGTTCCAATTGAGGCCATGTATATGAAGCGTCCGGTAGTCGCAGTTAGCAGTGGAGGGCTGTTGGAAACTGTTCAAAATGGTGTGACAGGATTTTTATGCAATCCTGATGTCAAATCATTTGCTTTAGCAATGAAGTAGTTTTTGAAGAATCCCTCACTTAGTTCAAAAATGGGTGAAGCTGGCAAAGAGAATGTGATCAAGAAGTTCTCTTTTGACGTATTTGCTCAACATCTTCACAGTATTGTATGTTGTTTGTACTTGCTAGAGTTTGATGCCTATCAATTAGACTAGTTCACCTTACAGACTGAGTAGCATCTACAGAACACTCAACTCTTGTTATAGCAGCACTTTGTTTTTCAAACATTAAAATTTTTTGGGGGTATTTTTTGACAGGTGTTTTAGTTCTGTTCATAAACGTCATGTCTCAAAGTCAAGAGGTGACTTTACTAGCCATCACCTGTACTGTATAAAATTCATAGGTTGTCAGGGAGAGAAATTATATATATATATATTTGACAATCCCAAATTTATTATCACTGAGTGAGCTCATTTGCTTAGGCCTCATTTCATGTAATGATTTGTAGATTGTATCTACTTTGGGGGCTTACTGATATTTCATGTTTTTTATAAATTATATAATTTATTTTTTTCCCTTAACCCTGCCCAGATCATTAGCCCTTCACCAAAAATTATTCTGCATATAAACTCACACTCAACCCACAATTCCTCTATGTGCCCTTACAAAGGACTAATACTCAAAATGTCAGCTTTGAAACTCTGGCCAATTTACATTATCAACTCAGTTGATAAAACCAAATTATCGAGATTAGAGATAATGTTTACAACTTTTGCAATGGCAGGTTTATACCAGACACCTTCAAACTTCACTTTTTAGTTGCATTCATATTCATAAAAAATCAATTTTAACATATTTCTTTAGAATGTTTAGTATTAAAAACTATTTTAGTTCAGCATGGATGATGATGATGACAATTAGAAATTCTAGCATGCTTACAATTGTAGCTCACTTCAACAAACTTTGCCTTGCACACAGTCTCACTGTTTGACTGTCAAATAAATCACAGTATTAATTATACAATATTGCCATTGTGTGGTTTATTGACAGGTAACAGATGGAGCCCAGACAGGGAGGGTGTGGTCCACAGCTTTGACATGCTTTCTCATGGTTGTAGTGTTCTGTATGGCCTGTGTGTGGGTTGTCAATATCCATAATGGCCACTGACAAGAAGTTCATTACATAAGATAAAGGATTATTAATCCATGATAAAAAGTCACTGACGAGAAGGTTGTTACTTTTCAACATACATGTAAAGCATATTTAATGTGCTATAAAATCAGTTAAATAATTATGTAATGATTTAAGTAAGTGACAAGTGAATCATTGAAGAAAGTACCTTTGCAAGCTTATCCAGGCTGTGTAGAGAATGATTATATTCAGATTGAGGGCATCTTAGAGGTTTGCCATAACTGTGTTTTGCCTCTCTAGGTGTTCATAGAGGCAAAATTGTGAAGTATTTTTTAAATAAAAGATGTATCATGCTACAAGCTGGAACTGTTTTGGATGCCATAATTAAATGAAAAAGGTTTGGTCACTGAATTTGCAGCCTTGTATTTTATTCAAGTAAGCACTTTGGGGGCTTATGAAATCAAATCATCACCATTTTCAGCAAGTAGTAAGTTGATTTTGTGAGAAAACATGAATTTAGAGATTGTAAGGCAGAGGGTGCTTATTTAAGGTGGTGCTTTTAAACTTTTCCTATGCTACAGGGTGAGTGCTCTTTCAAGGTTGAGTGTGAATCAAATGAAAATTCTACATCACTATATTTGGTGACCTATCAGAGTGCAGTGTATAGAGTTGGAATTCTTTACTGAGAATTGAATGGGAGACCTTTGGATTTCAGTGTTATTCAGATTATTAAACAGTGTTAGAAAAAATTATAGGGAGTAAGTTTCTAAAGAAACTGGGGTGCTGTGTTGGTGGGGGTTGTGACAAAAAAAAGTTGGTGTTATCAGCTGAATTGATAATGGTAACTAGTCATTATAAAGAGTTTCTTAAGCTCCAAAGAAGGGCTAGAAACTGTTTACAAGGGCTAATTTACATTATCAACTCAGGTGAAAAACAAAAACAAATTAGCTTCAAAAACAATAATTTTATTATGCTTTAGCTTTATTTATCACTACAGGGTATCTTTGTTATCTTATGTTTGCTGATCTTTAGGCAATAACTTATATGTAGGAGTCTTCACCAGAATAAAAAAATATGTAATAAATAAAACAAGTTAAAATAGTTTAAATTAATTAAAAATATTTTCATTATGCAGGTATTTATGAAAAATCTTTTTTACAATCCTCTACAAGCAGTGTTTGGAGCAAAGAAATATACAGTGTAATCAATTACATAACTAATAGGGTGTGTCTCTTAGTCTCTGAGTCTTATCTGAAGTGGTGTGTGTTAGTCTCTTGGGATCAGATAAATGCTTGAAACATTGCATGAGCAAGAAATTACAGCTCAGATTGTTGTCCTTTTCTTGTCAACTTCCTTTTTCCTTTCTCCCTTCTTACCACAGGTCTTGTACTGACTGTTGGTATTTGAATACTTCACTTAGCAAGGGTAAATATTTTCTTTGTCTTCATTCTGAAAGTTGAAGGGATCAGTGTTGGCTTTCTTGACTTTTGTATCCCGCTGCAGCCTTGCATAGTAACGCAAGACATCAGGGTGAGCGCGTACACACTTGCTATCAAAGTCCAAAACTCGGAGGCCTTGAAGACTGCGGGCTCTTGAAAGTGCAACATAAGCTTGGCCATATTCAAAGACTCTTGACAGAGAGATTTCAACACAATCCAGTGTCATACCCTGGAAGAAAAATTAAATTTGGTAGAGAACACTACAACAGCAAAGTGCAGTTACCTAATTTAGTTGATAAGCAAAATTGTCACAAAAATGGCTTGACCTCAACAGATTAGGTTCTTTTCCTGTTCCCCAGGGCAGAACCAACATCAGACTTTTTCCATTTCAGTATCTATATCTGATATATCTCAAATTTCAGCAAGTGTGACAAATTTTTAAAACAAAAACTTTAAACTTTTTAATTATAATACCTCATTTTTAGAGGCTACTTTCCATTGATTCCTTTGTTTCTTCCTTCTATTGTTTTGCTTGGGTGCATTTTTATCATTGGATGGCTCATTATTTTCATTAATTAATAACACTTTTGCAAATTGAAAGTTGCTGCTTTTTTCAATTTCCTGTGTAATATAATACTAGTAAAAGAAACCTATACTTTGAAAAACCCACAATTTATTTGAGCTTCCTCACCATTTCTCTCTAACCTAACATGGATGAAATTATTTAGTAGTTCTGTGGTGGCATGTACAGGAAAAAAAAGTGCTTTAAAACCACTGAGTCCTAAAGCAATGCACACTGTTGGAAGAAATCTCTTATCAGCTTTGTTAGAAAGTTAGCCTTGCCTCAATTAAATGTAAAACCCTTTTTTCATCCACCACACTATTATTACAAGAAGTTACCATTGCAATCTTTTTTTTAGCTTCTGTTACCTGGCTTTTGTGTATGGACACTGCCCATGCTAATTTAAGTGGCAGCTGTCGCCGAGTGACTGTTCCTCCACCAGGTGTTGATACAACCCACTTTTCAGAACCAATGATCTCTTCAATCCCAGAAACAAACTTGACAATAGGGTAACCTGAAGGAAATTGTGTCATTCAGCAATATAAAATCCTTCTAATGAGCCTATAATTTTTCAAAAGTTTAATTGTATCACTTGAATTATAGTCCCAATCTTATTATGACTGGTCAAAAAATTATGAGGAGGTAACATTTTTATTCAGTAAACATTGTGACAGCCTTTTTGAATAGTTACCAGTGACAAAAATAGCTGTCAAGTGTTGATCAAAGGAGAATTTCTTGAACACATTTCTCAGGAATCTCGCAATTGTGACTGCAAACTTATTTTCCTGCATATCAAATACATGAAATTTTCTGATAATACTGTTAGTGTGAATTTGGAAGCGATCTTTGTAGTACTGTTATGAACTCTACTTTAAAAGCAGTGAAAATAAGGCCTGAAAGAAAAATTGGGGATTTGACCCAATGACCTCTGGATACCAATGCAGTGCTCTACTAACTGAGCTAGCAAGCCAACTCTGAGAGTTGGTTATCATGTTGGTTCATAATACTGTTAGTTTATAATTAACAGACCAGCAGATCCCTCGTCAAATCCTTTGATTATTCCACGAGCACCATTGACAAGTCCTTTCGAGACATTCAAGTTCTTAGCCAGCATCACCTGATAAAGGAGAAAAAGTATTTTGAATAAATCACTCAACATTTATCATTAACATTTACTAATAACAGGAGTTATCAAGACCCAAAAGTGATCCACAACCGAAGTGACCACATTGCAAGACAAAGATTACATTTCTCTTTTGAAGTGATGAATACATTACTGCAATCTATTTTACAATGAGTTATCAAAGGCTGATGACCCATCATTGTAATGATCATAAATAATTTATTTATTAAAGAAATATCATTATAACTATATGTTACATTTTACATTCTGTAAATGTGTAAAGCAAAGCTGTACTATGTAAGAAGTTGTTACCTGTGCTCCTACTTTTAATTCCAAAACGCAAGACACAGGAACATGACTGTCAAGCATTGCGCTCATTCCACTGTCACTGTCAGTTGCTTCAAATACCTTCTTTTCACCAGGTAGTCTTGTCAAATGTATGTCATTTATCTGATTGACGTTTTCCTTGTGGGTGCAAAGCTTGGTAGCAAGTATTCCTCCTTGTTCTATTAGTTGATTCTTAGTTGCAGTTAACTTGGATACAAGAACATCTGAACAACTGGATACAACAGAATATTATTTACACAATAAGTAAAGGTAAGGGGACTGAGGAGAGTCCCATTTGGTCTGTAATCATACAAGTGATAACAAATTCAGAAGACTGCCCAGTGGGAGTCTGATTTGTTTACCAATAGTATTATCACAAACCAAATTAATTGACATAAAGTCTTTTTACCAATTAATCATAAAAGTTATAATTTCCTAGTAAAGAAGAAAGGCCAAGTTATGAAAGAAAGAGAAAATTTGCATTCTAAGCCAGACAAAGGAGTAACAAGGTTGTGATTGGTTGATTTAAACCACAACTTTGAATGTGATTGGCTTATTGAACTGTTCGATAACAAACTGTCTGATAACAGACTGTCCAATAACAACTTCGCAAGTGAAGTAGTCAAAAATAGGAGTTTTTTAAGCCATCTACAATTGAGGAAATTGTGATTTTTATGATAAGCTGAATTATACATGCAGTTTGATTGGTTCTTACTTAAGATCTGCTGGAGGACAGTCACATAGATGATCTCACCATTAGCAACATTTTGCCTCTTTATTGTATAAAGCAAATAGATTCTATGTTGCAGTGGGTGGTAACAGTGATAGATCACAGAATATGTCAAAATGTAATAAGAACATCAGAGACATACTCGGCTGTGGCTTGTGTGACACTTTTTTGTCCTTACCACATTTTGATGTCATCTGGAATCTTTTACTGAACAGATTCTCAGCAACATGGAATCTAGTTGTTCAACAGAAATGATAATGGTGGCTTGTTGTGACAGCTGCACTGTATCTTGAAAGACCACATTGACTCATATTGACATAATTCATATAAATCGTTCATTATGAATTAACATAAACTGCCTGCAAAAATTAAGATTTTTACCTTCCAACTCGCACATTCTGAAGAATCGAGATAAAGAGTGGATCTTTTTGTCTAAAGACATGTTTAAGCTCAATGGTTGTTTCAACACATTCACTCCAACTTTCTGCCTGAAATAATTGTAACAAAAAGTCAAAGGTTGCATAAAATCTCATGACAGTGGCTTGTATAAAATCTGATTGCCCAGTCTTTGGATGAAATGTCAATGGATCATAATTTTTTACCTGAAAGCAAAACTTTTTGGGTCCTTGTTGTTTTGTTACAGGAGGAAGCTGTAAGAAATCTCCTGATAAAATCAGTTGAATTCCACCAAATGGGATATTTTCTTTTTTTCTCACAGCGCGGGCAACTGCTTCAAGTTTATCAAAATAGGTGGACTCAACCATTGAGATTTCATCAATAATCAAATGTTTACAACGTCTCCACTGTTGGGCTCGCCCAGGCCGTGATGCCAGATCCACACACTGAGCAAGAGGTGCACTTCCACTGCCAATACCTGTCATGCACAAGACCATAAAAAATTAATCAAATTTTGAAAACCCATCAACAGAAATTAAAGTGGCTGCATGACATTCCTCTTGAAAGCCTTACCTCATAGGTTGTTCCAACCTACGACAAGGTTTCTTGCCATTATATTTAAGACCTGGACAAAATGTGAGTGACATTATTTTTTTCTCAAAAAAAAAACACAATATCACAAATCATATCCTAAAGAGTCTATGTGACAGCTCTTCCCAGAGACTTCAGGATGGTGGCCTGTGATGGGTGAGGTCTTCCGTGGAGAAAGGGGCCAGAGGTTAGATGTACACAATTCTGCCTGGCATCA